GCAGTAACATGATTTGCAATTTCTGTTTTTTTTTCTTAGTTTTTCATTACCAAATAGATTTTGGTATAATTTTACGTTTATATCAAAAAATCTAGATATCAAAAACAAAAAAAAAAAATAATTTCAAGTTTTACAAGTTTTTTAGATCTACAAATAATTATTTACTATAAAAATTAAATATCGAATTTTATAGTTTTGTGTATGCATGAATAGCTTAACATTATGTTAATAAAATTTTGACAACTCTTAATGTTTTATACTTTTAAATTTCCGGTATTAGTAAGATGTGTAGACAAAAATTAGTTTTACAGATTTTAAAATAGAGATTAGAAATTTTGTTTATTTTTTTTTTTTTTTGTGCATAAATGTAAGAAATCTAAATGCAAATTATTTGGATTAAATAAAAAAAAAAAATTTGAATAAAAAATTTAGATGTTTTTTTTGGGTAACCATAATGTACCAATATTCAAAGAGTACATGAACATAATCAAATTTCAAATTAATTAACAATTTACATAGCATCTCGTATATATTTTATTAAATCGTAAAAATTCAATGAAAAAATATTTATTACTTGTTTAATCATTGTAAAAAATTTAAAATCCATTAAATAAATTTTACAAAATTTCTTTTATTGCAAAAATTTTACAATTTTTTTTTTTATTATTTTCTGTAATCTTAATTTAATTGTGTTATAATATGTTAAAAATTTATAATTTACAACTTCCTCTAATCATTCAAAAATATTTTCAAAAATAAAATTTATATCGTAAATGATTTGGTATTGAAATAAATCAAAATGGAATTTGACCTTTTCTGTCTACAATGGCTATTGTGAATTGTTAATTTTTTTTTTTTTAAGAAAATATTAATGAATTATTTAAAGTACTAAATTGTTGTAAAAATTCAATAAATTACGAAAACCTATAGGGTTTTTTGAATTTCTACACATGAATAATATTTAAAGCATATGCGAGAATACAGATATTTTATTATTGATTTTTACAAATTTAAGTAGGTATTTTATAATGCCCCCTAATGTCTATTACTATATACCATTGCAAATGCTTAATAATCTATTAGGCCAGCAATCTGAAATTATTTTCCGAAGTATTCCGAAGGAATAAAATTTATAAAAACAATGCTTAATAATTTATGTCCCGAAGTGTTCCTATTGAAATATTTTTGTTACATTATTGAGTACATTTTCATTTTATTTTATTTAGTATGTTTTCTAAAACCACCAAGAAATATTATAATTTTTAATACCTGTTACGACTTTTATACAAATTTGAAATTTATTTTTGATTTACTCTCTGAGTTTGGTCGCCTTCTGATAGAAATTTTCTAAAATACCTCAATTAACCTTTATGACAGTTTATATTAATGCTGAACTTTTAATATTTTAATCAGCTTGATATTAGTATAGATGACTTAAACAGAATTAAAACCTAAATTTAATCAATTTTAAATTTAGTAATATCTATATTTTGGGGTGCAACAATAATAATATTTATGTATGAATTTGAAAAATATTTTTATCAATTCCATGAGATCTTCATAATATATGAGATTTTGGAATTCTTTTATACAAAAATATTTTTAACTATATAATCCGTACCTAAATGTGTTAATTTGTAAATTGTGAATAATACCGTTATATATTATATGAATCAATAATCGTGAGTTATTTTAATATGAAAACAAAAAATTTTTTTTCATTAATAATAATTATTATATAATTAATAGGAACTTGAACTAGAAAATTTAATAAATACTCAAATTATTGTTTATACAGAAAGGTGTTTTATTAATTTATTATCAAAATTTTATTAATCAAATTCTTACAATATATACTTGACTTACTTAATTTTTAACTGGTATTCCTTATACTTTCATTACTTGCTTTTAATTTATTTGAAACGCAGAGAGTGTTTTTTTTATTATTTTGGGATTTCTTTTTGGTTATTTAATTTAATTTTATTACTTTAGTATAGAAAATTAAAAATTCATGCAAAAACAGTAATCTGGAATAAATTATTAACGCATCATATAGTGTTATGGTTAAATTAATCGTCATGTTAATTGTAATGTTAATGTCATGTTAATAAATTGTCAAACTAATAAAATATAAAATTTATTCAGTCGAATTTTGATTTTTTAAACGCTATAATGCTTTATAGGTTTTTTTCAGTTTGAATAATTTCATTATCAAAATAATTATTGGGTATCCGCACTTCATTTCGGCCCTGATATTGTTTATTAGTTTATTTATATGTACAAATGTTATTTGAATTAAAAAAATAAATAACCTTTTATTTTATAATCTTATGAGAAATATTTAAAATTATTTAATTTTTACCGAAAATTTACGACAATATTAAAAGATTGTTATATGTACTAAGTCATATTATATTAGGGCTTATTGGCATTCAACATTTCCTGATTTGTATATTAAATTTGAACATTGTTCATTATTTTAATGCTTTTAGATGCTTGAACTGAAGATAACTGAATGTTTTCAAAAATTCTGTTATAAATTTATTTCATAATCCTTCAATTCAATTTTACTTCAAACCCTTCGATAGTGTAAAACGAGTCCACTCAAATGTGGATTTAACTGACTTTATTTTTCATAGTATAACAGTTTATAAATATCTCATTCAATATTAGTTCTTTATTAGGTCTAAAGTTCAACAACAATCATTCATTAGGTAAGAAATTAACTTAACTTCAAAAACTATTAATTTAGGGTCAAGTATTTTTAAATGTATTAATCTTACTATCTATAACTATAGTACAATATCAGGTAAAATATTAATAATCACATACAATAATTATTATAATTAAAACGAATATGACATCCTTAATTCAAATAATCATTATACTTGTATATGTGTATATATCTAAATATTTTACATAATTCACTATTAATAATATTTATTTCTATATTAATGAATTTTTCATGTTATACGTGCAATTTATTTATTCTTTATATTTTATATTGTAAAAATAAAGCTTCCGAAATGTTATAAATTAATTCTATACTTATTTTTTGTTTTTTTTTTTTGGTTCCCCTATTTCCACATTTTTCTGTTATATTTCAATTTTATCATGTGTATATATGGTTTTTAATAAATTCTGTGGTCACAACGTAAAACAATCTAAATCAAAAATTAATTGTCATCTTCGAATAAATTAATTTTGTTTGAAAACTTGAAATCCCTCAAAAAAATAGCATGCAGAATTTGAAAATATTTTTGTTGAAAATTTTTTTTATTTTCTGATGATATTAGATATTCTGCACTGTTTCTATCCAGATTTAATAACATATTAGTCAAATTGAAACAATATGTATGTTTTTTATGATTAGGTCATAATTATGTTATACAGTATATTACAGTAAGTTTTTCATGATTAGGCTAAATTTATTTGAGGAGCATTTCGTTCTTCTTAATTTGACCATCTAAAAATGTTCGGAATTGAATTAAATTTTCAAATCTCCATACAGACAATTTTATCTTACGGATATCTTCAACTTTTTCCGCTAAGTTGACTTTGATAATTTTCCTTTATTGCCGCAGAATTATTATATATATGAAAGCAGAAATATATACAAATATATACAAACATACAAAGAGTTGTCGCGATTTTAATGTATAATAAGAGTTTAACACCCGTTTAACGCCTTCTTCTATTGATTTTTTTTTTATATTGTATTTATACAACAATTTGTTTTATATACCGGCAACAGGTGAGAAAAAAATTTGTTTTCTACTTTTTACATTTTTTTTTATATTAGTATGTTTGTATATAATTATATATTTGCTTAAATTCCATAATATTTTATTATTTTAATAGTGTTTTCTTGTTTTTATTTCTCTTGTATATATACATATATAGGATTTTTAATGTTGTTAATCTTGTTTTTTTAAATAATATAATTTTATTATAATTATATTCAGAAAACATTTGACCGAATTATAATATGTAAGTTATAATAACAAACAATAATAAAAAATAAGCGTATAATTTGAAATTTAAATAAATAATTTGTTTTTGTAAATGTGATTTTATTTTTTAAATGATTTTTAAGCACGCATCACTCTTTGAATGTCTTTTTTTATATGCATATTTTTGACATAATTATATGCATGCGTCAAATGTCATTCAAGATGATTACTCGCATATCGTAAATTTAATTGATAAAGGCATATTTTATAATTTAATTTCTGTAATCGTGATTAAGAGGGCTGTTTAAGTTATTCTTCTTAATTATGTAAAATTATGTAAGTGAAGAGAGCATTTTTAAATGAAAGTGGACAATTTAAAAAAAAATTTTTTCTTAATAAAAATTTCAACTTCTTTTTATTTATAATATTTTATGTATGTATAACAATATTTTCAAAATTATTATGTGTATATGTTTTTTATGTATTTATTTAAATTATATGATTTCTATATAATTATACTGATATTTTTTTATTATGCGTATACATTTGATATATAGATCGGTTTTTTATAATAAATTAATTACAAAAATAAAAATTTAATATTAATTTTATTTATAAATAAAATTTATAAATAAAGTTATGAAAAATAAAGTATAAGTGTTTTTTCGGTAGCGTTTAATTATAACAATACAGTTTCTGTTTCGATAAAATTTAAAATACAGTAAAACCTCTACACAAAAAACTATTTTTATATGTATAACAAATTTCTCTATTTATCGAACAGTTATTATTGTGTTGAAATAATTAATTATATAATTTACTTTTAGTTTTCTAATTAACGAATTTTTCTATATTACGAGCAAAATATTAGAATTTAGATGATTCGTTATATAAAAGTTTTACTGTATGTGTATAACAAAAATACAAAAAAAAAAAAAATTAAAACAAGGATAAAAGGAAATAAAAAAAAGTCACATAAAAATTTAATTTTTTTTTTTTCATTTTATGTCTCTTTTTATTTTATTTTTTGTTCTTCTTATTATATTTTTAATGTCTTGGTGGTAAATAATCTGTTGATGGTTTTGGTGGTAAATAATTTGTTTTTGGTGCTGCTGGTTTCGGTGGTAAATAATTTGTTTTTGGTGCTGCTGGTTTTGGTGGTAAATATGCTGTTTTTGGTGCTGCATAATTATAACCGCTACTTGGTTTTGGATAATTATAATTACCACCAGCTGGGCTACTAGCATGACTAAATGATGGTTTTGGTGGTTGTGGAATTTTTGATACTCTTGGACCAGCTTTAAGTCCTCCAGAATTTTGTGAACCAGGTAAATGATCACCAACAGCATGAAAACCATTTTCATCAGCCCAATACATAACTGTATATGTTTTTCCATCATCACCAGTAAATGAATATTCACCACGTTTTGAATTATCTGGTGCACCATCTTCATTATGTCTTATACCATTATCAGTTTCATATCTAAGAGTAAAATTAAAGAAAAAAAAAATTTTTTTTTTCCTATTACTTATTTTATTTAAAATGTCTGTTAATGTTTTATGTATGAATGTATTTTATTTGTGTATAAAATTAAAATTCAACAATTTTTTTTTTTTATATTTCGAATTTATTTTTTATAGATACAATAAAATGTATAATAAAAGTTGATTTATTTTATTTTTCAAATAATTTCCGCATTATTTTTGTGTTAAACACAAAATTGAAATAAAATTTAAAATTTTTTTTTTGTATATTTAAAAAATTTGTGTATATAAATTCAACATACATGCATACATTTTTATTTTGATTTAATTTGAAATAGAAAAAAAAAATTTTTTTTAATTACTTTATTTTAACTAGACTGCCTAATAAAAATTAATTTTGTTTTCAAATTAAAATAAAATTAAGAAATTGTGAACAAAAGTGTTTTTTAATTATTATTTTCTTTGCTTAACATTTAATTTGTTAATTAACGATTATATAAAATTAGTTAATTAATTTTAATCTTATTTAATTCTGTTGTAGAACAGCTAATTCAAAAAATTTTAATATTTTCTCACATTTTATGAATTCCGCCCACACAAACCAATGTTTTTGAGAATTAAATGCAAGTAATTTATTAAAATTTACCAAAATAATTACAATAAAATTAACGGGGTGTGTTGGAAACCATTTTTGAACATATAGAATTTTAGAGAAATTTAATTTTTTTTCGGGTTTTTAAAATTAATTTTACTTGCTTAGAAATGAAAATATTTCCGGTTTAAAAATTGAATTTCCTTTTATAAAAATTTTAATAATTTATTTTTTTTTCAAAGAAAACTGGATTATTTCGAAAATTTCTATATTAGTGGTTTATTTTCAATTGGTGTTTTGTTTTAAAAGGGCAAAAAATAAGAAAAAGAATAAATTCTTTTGGAAAATTTTTCATTATTAAAATGACAATACATTTGATTATTATATATGGTATAGTGTTACCGTAATAATTAATAAACAATTTTATTATTAATTAATATGCGAGATTTATTATTAATTACCGCACGCTCTCGCATGGTGAGTTTTAATATAAAACAAGTTATTTACACAAGAAATATTAAATAGGAGAAAACTTAATTTAATGAATGTAATAATGAGTTTCAAATTATTGAGCAAAGCTCTGTTTTAGCTATAATTATTTTTGAACAATAATTATTTAAAAAAAATGTTGAAATATCATTGAACATGTGGGGAATTTTCAATATCATATTATAAAATTTTCTAATCATTGAAGCTGCCGTTTGCCCTATATGTTTTTAGAATTATTTCTTTTCAAATTTCAATTTTTTTTCTGAAAAGAATCATAATTTAATAGCTTTTATTCACATATGTATAAAATCCGATTGTTATTAAAATGGTAACACTACTTATACATTTGAAGGTAAATGCTCATGTTATGTATGCTCTTTTTTTTTCCTATTTTTCTTCTTTATTACTCTCTTAACATTTACATAAATTTCAATATTATCAATAACTGTCATTAACATAAGCATGATATATTTTTAATAATATATTAAGTTATAGAAAATTTTTAAATTTTATCAAAGATAATATTATTTGACAATTCAATGTCAAAATATTATAATAATATATAAAATTATATACAAATGTCTTGTGGTGAATTTGTTTTGTTAAAATTTAATGAGTTTTCTTATGCGAAATTAATTTTAAATTTTATTTGATTTACATAAATTGAACACACACTGTTACTTTGAAATGTCAAAAAAAATTCTTTAAAATTTTTGAAATTTTATAATTGATTAGATTTGTGTGTAAATAATATGTGTAATTTGTTATTAAATGATTTTCAATAATTACACATTTTTGAATATAAATTATATAAGAAGAGAACATTTTGCCCTTGCAGTTAATAAATATTTGAGATTAAATTGAAATTTGAGTATATTGGACTATATAGTAAAGAAAAAAAACAAACCAAATACTTACGCAAAATTATATGTTCCATGACCATCATTAACATAATCATTTCTCAATATTCTAGCATATGCATCACCTGTCATTGGATGGGCAGAATGACCAGTATGACTAAATAAATGTTTTGTATCACCATAATGTGATCCTCGAGTTAAATGTGATACATCAGCAGATATTAAGCCAAATAACATAACAGATAAAATTATCTAAAAAATAAAGTAAAAAACATAAATACAAATTAATTAAATAAATAAAATTTTAATTAAAATCTTAATTAATAAACATAATATTTGTGTTAGGAATTGATGAGACCAAACGGAATGTGTAGTCGCAGGATAATTGTAATTAAAATTTTGATAACATAGTTTTAAATAACGAGAATTATTTTAATATTTTATTCTATATAAGAATATTAGGAGTTATGTAGCCGGAGTACAATATGAATAGAATGTTGAATATTACCCTTCTATTTAGATTATTCTATATTTGAGAATAAGGAAGCTATGGGTTTAAATAAACCCAAAAAGAATTGGGTTAATACCATCCTTAATTTTATTTAAATGTTATACTTATTATGTTATAAATATTGTAAGGTATTCAGTGAAATTTAATTAATTTTATGGTATTGCAGTACTGCAGGATAAATTATATAATATTCGTGAGAGTAGCATATTGATTTTAAAATAGTTAAAAATTATAGAGTGAATTCATGTTTTTAATTAAATATTTTTGTTTTTCTTTTTTTTTTGTAGATTTGGAAAATTTAATCAATTTAATTGTGAAATAATATATAATAATAAAATATGCTCATTATATAGAGATATTGGAAAATATAAAATAATTTTCTAATTAAATTCCGTTAATGACAATTAGTTTAATTAAAATTTTCATTATTATTTCAATTACAATATAGGACTGTACAATTTATTTTATCACAATTAAATATTTTAAATATTTTATTTAATTAATTCACTCTTCATAAGTCTCTTTTGTTAAATTATAATATTTTTTTTCCAATTTTGAAATATTTTTCAAATAAATTTCAATGAATTTTAATTATTTTTAATATTATGTGTTGTTAAATAATTGAATTGTTAGAGCATTATTAATTATAAATGATTTTAATTAACCACATATAAGTATAAGGGTAATTATCCTTGAAGCTTTTTGTATATAAAGAATTAAAATTTATTATTTAAATATTAAAAATCACATTATTAGATTATTAAAAATAAATTTATTAAAATATTTAAAAAAAGCCAATTAAAAATTTCTGATGGTATTTTTTTTTTGAAATTAATTTTATTTTATTATCCTTTTTCAAATATCCTGTTTTTTTTTTTGGTACAAATTTTTAATATCACGGTTCATTATTTTTGTTTTTTTTTTTTTAAATAATATTGAAAATCACTTTTTAAATTAATTTTTAAATAATTAAATTTAATATCAAAATGGAGGAATCCTTACTAATTTCATGATGATTTTTTTTTTCTATTTTGTATTTAAAAAAATTTTCTTTTAATTATAATTAATTATTCAATTTATTTTTTAAATTTTTAAATTTAATTTTAAAAATTAATAAATTAATTTTTTTCCTTTTTTTTTAATTATTATTTTGCAAATTATTATTTTTTTTTTTTGACTAGACTTGGTTTTCTTTGTATTTTCTTTTTTGCAATGCTATAAAAACACAAAAAGAAAAAAACGTGCAGTGCGGCCAAAAAACGAAACTTTTAGTCTTTGTTTTAATTTTTTGCTATTTTTTTTTTTGTTATTTGTGTCTCATTAACTTCTAAATCAGAACTGTATTAATAATCGAGGTCTCACAAAGCTTTTATATGAGAAAAAATTTCCGTAAAAATGACAAACAAAAAAAAAAACATTTTTTTTTTGTATTTTTTTTTTTTGGCCAAAAACATTCTCCTCCATATTGCGAGCATATTAGAAACTTCAAAAAAAAAAAACCAAATATACAAAAATCCAACAAACATACATCATAATCAAGAAATGCAAATAAGTCGAAAACAAAAATCATAAAAAGAAATAAATTAGAAAATATAGAAAAGAAAATCGAAAAAAAAAAAAAACAAAAGTTACCAATCTCATAAAATAGTTACTTTTGATTACTTATAAAATACTAAAACTAATATTTAACATTTTTCTATTATGATTATTAGTTTTAGTACCCATAATAAAATAAATTTCCAAATTTAGGCGGATTTATAAAGTATTTTTCATATAAAAATATTATGACAGAGACAACCACACATACGTAAAATAGTAATAGGTAAGAACCAGCATAATATTACTGATATACATGCACACATATACAAGTATAACAATATAGAAAATATTATGAATAATAATAAATTATTGAAAAAAAAATCATCAAAAAAAAAGGTGCTAGAAAGAGAATAAAAAATTAATTTTTCTTGTTATTATTATTGTTATTATTTTTTCGCGAAAAAATTTATGATCGTTTAAATTTTAAAATATGTTAATAATATTAAGATTTATTATTTTATTACTTTATTTTTTAATCTTGTTAATAATTATAAATAATAATTATAACAAAAATATTTAATTTTATTCATAATTACTATTATCATTTTTATTGTTATAATTATTATTATAATTGATAATAGATTTAATTTAATCTGTATTATTATTGTTGTTACTTAATTTCATTATTATTATAATGGTAATCGGTAATCGATTATTATTATTGTCATCATTATTATTATTATTGTTGTTGTTCGTCAATTTCATTATTATTATAATGGTAATCGGTAATCGATTATTATTATTACTGTCATTATAATATTATTGTTATAATAATGCTCTATTTATATTATTTTCATTTCTTCTTATTTCTTGTTATGTCATATTTTTTAAAATATCATAATGACAGCTATTATTATATATTATTATAATAAACTGTCTTAAAATATCAATTCTTATAATATTATATTTTAGTTTTAGATGAACATAATGATAATTGTCATTATTATGATGATAATGATCATGTTGATGACAATGATGATGATGATGATGAGAGATTACCAATATATTATAATAATAATAAAAGTATTTATTTAATTTAAAAGTTTCCATAATTTTTATATGTAGGCAGATGACAAAATCATACAAAAATGGAAAAAATATCATTATTAATCAAATATTATCATTATTAAAAAAATGTAATGTAAGTAATTAGCATACAAGTACATAAAATACATACATTAATTTACTGCTATATTAAGACTAATTATGTAATTACATTATACCTACATAACAATTGATTTTGTAAATATGGTCAACTTATTATGTTATACATGGTCAATTATTAAGCTAATTTTATTAATGAAGTATGCGTAATAGATTTATTATTTTATGATTAATATTAAATGATTAGTTTTAGATTAAATCGTAAATTTTTATTTTTTAAATTTTGATTTGTATAATTAAAGTTGTATTGTAATACATAACAGGATGAGAGAAAAATAGAGCCGGGGGGTTAGGGACAGTGAACATCTTTAGTATTTAAGCATTTTGATATACAATTAATTTTAATATAGGAGATTAAATTATGGTTTTCTTTAGGGTTTTGCTTCTAATTTTCTTTAACGATAAAATTGTTAGAAAAATTTGTAATTTATATTATAATTAAGAAATGTTAATAACTCTTAAGATTTGGATTTCTATAACGGTTTCTTAATATTTGATTCTAAATCACTTTGAATCACTATCGAAAATAATGTAGTTTGAAATTTCATTCACTTATATTAACGTATAACAATTAAATTAATAAGATCATGATGTCAGATTTAAATTGCTCATCATAATATAATTTTGTAATTTTATACTCTAAGATACTTTTAATCTATTTTGAAAATTAATATTTATTAATTTAAGAATGTGATCTCAATATTCGAAATTTATTATGGAATTTAATATTTTTGTAATTAATGTAATAAACTTGTTGTTATTAATAAATTGTCTATTCTAACAGAATAAGAAAATTCTAAAATAAGAAAATATTAAAATATTTCAAAAAATTCGATTTTAAATTTCACCCCAAACGAATACAAAATTTGTAGACACTGAAGTAACAGTACACCACGACTTCGCCCCTCTGATTGCGTGGCATGATCCTATAGCAGTCGCCCGAAGTCCACCGCCGTGATGTATTGAGCAACTTGTTGGTTATGGAAGACCGCAACTTCGCATCTGTGAGAGCAAATTCCTCCAGAATTTTTGCTTCTCCTGCGTGCGAAAGCAACACACTCTCCCAGAAGGTGTACTGAGGTCTCCCTGCAAATGCTTTCATTTACCAGGAACATCCTAATGAGGTGCCGCAATGAATACTAATGTTATAATTTCGTTTTTTTTAATAAATAATTTTTTTTATAAATTATGTTGTCAATTCTAGTTCTATTCAGTTTGATAACCTTTAAAATCTAATAAATCAGTGTTAAAATTTTCTACATATAAGGTCTGTATAGAAAATTTCTTTTATTTGAATTCGAATTATCCAATTATTCATTTTGAATTACAAAAGAATAGAAATATTCTTAATAAAATAATTTACATATGAAAAAAACATTTTTTAATTTTTATATTGATTTCATAATTTCTTGATTTTTAAATATTTTCCAATAGAAATTCAAATAATAAAAATATAAGCGACTAGAAGAATTTATAAAAATGAAAGTCTATAACCTCTTTTAGCTTTTGTGCCAAAATGTCTACCACAAAAATGAATAAAAGCTACAAAATTCCCCATCGTTGTCCCATTATATAATCAAATTTTAATATGGTCATCATAACACAATTTAAAGTAGTCATCATCATCTTTGTCACATATCATCAAAAAAATCACCTTCAAAACCATATTGACAAAATTTTCTGTTTTTTTTTTTTTGGTAATAAAATTATTTTTTTTGAAAAGCGAGTAATCATAGAACCAATATGGTTTTTAACAAAAATTAAAATATGTAAAATTATAAAAATTTCACATATAAACCACTTTTAAGTTCTAATATGATCGTAACATAAAATGTTAAAATTAATAAAATTTTTAGAATAATAAATTTAAAAATTTCAAATATTAATTTTTTTTTTATTTCCATAAACAAGAGAAAACAAAAAATCATGTTTGTAATAAAATTATTTTAACAAAATCTGTAATATTACTTGTTTCCCAAAATTATTCTATGGTTCATATTAAGTGTGTGAGATTCATGTTTACAGTGTAGCTTGGGAATATGAAACTCAAATAGTGAAGAGAGGCAATTCATATGGAAGCAAAAAAGTCTTCCTATATATGTAAACGAGATACAATTATTTGAATAGGAACTAAAAATTACGTTATCGAAGAATGCAATAATTTTATAAAATTTTAGGAACTTTTAAAAACATAGATAAAAATTAAAACGTGTAGAAAGATTAAAATTTAAAAACTAAAACGTCTTAATATTCTGATTTAATGAGGCTTCGTCTGAAAAAAACTGTTTTGATAAAAGTTATACATATATGTTTATAAGTTTCGGAAGAGAGCTCTTTCAACTGTTTGAGTTCCATATATGTATGCATTTTATGCAACAATATAAAACTCAATATTGACTTTGCATGTTTTATGAAAGTGACAATTTTCAAATTCTTGAATACGCCACATACACAAGTTTATTATGCAGACAAAATGTCATACATTGCGGAATAAAATATTTTATGTAGTATTGGTAGGAAACATTAAGAACCTTTTGGCAATTTATTAAAAACATACTGCAAAAACAGATGTCAAGGTATGTTGTATATTGCTCATGGCTATATTTTCGAAATTATTAATGGAACAGCGAGCTAATTGGAATCTGAATGTTTATGATATTCCACCTCTAATTAAATCTCACATTTGGTTCAAATCTTTAGCTGTACCTAAAGCGTCTGAATATAGAACGGTAAACGTCTAGTAGCATATTGTGTTGATTAACTAATTAATCTAAAATTTTCATTTTAGATCTTTATCAAGCATAAATTTGTCATTATATAGCAAGGTTTTCTATCTAGTCTTTAATAAAGCTGGGCATATAACAATTTTTATTTATTTTTAAAATTTCATTTGCAAAAAAGTCTTGTTTGTTGTTCCGGAACTAAAATTTCTAATACAAATTTTTTCTAAAATTTTTTTTTTTTATACATACACATGCATAGATAATTTATAGATAATGTTCCATTAAATTTTATATATGTATGTACAATATATTTTGTCTATAAAACATTAATGATATATCACTGAAATTTAATATCGATCAGTTATTTATTATTATTGTTTTTAATATAAATTATAATTATAATAATGATTGAATGACTCAAAATTTCAAAATTAATTGTTCTAAATTTTGTTCAAATTTATGTTAATAGTTAGCACATGCTTTCAAGTGAGAAGTAGTAGTTGGTCTAATTGAATGAATTTTACTTCTTGTTTTGGTTTTTTATTTTTTATTTTTCTTTAATTAATTTTTGGGTATAGTTTTTTTCTTAATATATAAAATGTACAAAAGATTAATGTGACCACTTCTCCCACACCATATACACATATATTTTCATTGACTTAATGTTCATATATATATATATATAGGTTTGATTCACTGCGGAACGGAAAATTAATCAGTGACGAGAATGGTTTTTATATTTAAGGTATTTATTTAGTTTGAAAGTATAGTAAGTCTTAATTCGTTTATGTATATTAAAATTAGAAAATCAGAGTTGAATACTCGTACGGCAATATTTGGGTTATTATTTTATATTGAGTTTTTTGCTTAGATATAGAACTTAATGACGGCTTAAATGTCAAATGAGGAGACAAAGTGAAATATTCTACTCAGTTTAAACCATTTATAGTGAATATACTCCGAAAAATCATAATAAATAGGTTTAAACTATAGAATAACACAACAATATTCTGCAAATTGAATCAATCATCGATTCGTGCAATTTATATAGACATTGTATTATTTGCAAAATTGTATTCAGTGATACTGCAGATTTTTAACGTAAGCTCATTTTTAAAAGGCAAAATTATCGTGTACGAGCTGCAGTCCGATGGAGTTCCGTTATATTACAAGGTTCCAAATTCGGATTTTATTTATACGACATATAGGCTCTTTTTAATGTAATTTTACATTGTGTTAGCTGATTATATCCGAATGCTTAACAATAATGTAAATGTAAGCTTTCAATGGGCGCCAAAAAAAAAATTATTACCTTATGACACTGAAAATTAACTCATGCTTAAATTTAAGATGATGCTTTCCATAAAAGCTTTTTTTCTTTTATTTAAGATACAGCTTAATCCGCTTCATTTGGATTAAAGATAGCCGTCAAATTAAATAACCCACTAAAAATTGATTAATTATTAAACGATAAACTTGTTTAAACAAAAACAAAGGAAAAACAAAAAATACAATAAAAAATCAATAAAAATACGACAAGAATGCGACATTTATTCAAACATACGCGTATTGTAGTTGTAAACTTGAAATTTCAAAAAGAAAATTTAATTATTATTCAACTTTTGTTTTTGCTTCACTGGTTATTGTGAGTTGTTTTTGATTTTGTGAGAGAAATTTTGAATATTGAGAGAAATTTGGGTTTTTTTTTCTGAAATAACGTTATATTCTTGTTTACTTGATGATATTATGTCAAAATTATATTGAGTTTAAATATAGTAAAAAAATGAGTGAAAATAATGAGTGTTTATGAGTGCAATTTTGTATGTTTGAATTTGAGTTATGATTAACGCTTTATACAATAGTTTTCATAGCAGTTTAGAAAATCATAAAAGTTTATAATTTTCTAAATTTTTTTGAATTCGATGAAACCGGATTTTCTATGTCTTTTATTTATAATTTGGCAAGCTTTTTTAATTTTTTAAGTTTTTCTATAAAGTATTTATGTCTGGCGTGTTAATGAGATTTTAAGTATTATTAAGAATGTCGAATTGATTTAAAATATACTAAGTGATGATAGAAAAACTTAATTTAGATTATTTTATGTCTTTTGTAGGCAATTAGCTATAGAATTATTACTCTATTTTTTAAATGCAATATGGTAATTTGTTTGACATTAAGTTGTTACTTGTTTCAGAAGCAAAAAATCTCAAAAAAAAAATTAATTAATTATTCTTTTGAATATTTTTTTTATATCCTGCTGTTTGATTTACAGATTTCTTCGATTTGTTTTATTAGTATTTAGTTCCACTATTTCAGTAATTTATTTTTTGAACCGTGATGTGTCATAAATCTTATTATTGTTTCAATGATAATCGATTTGTTAGACAGACTTTTGACTATTTTTTTTTTTGTCATCTATTAAGAATAGAAATTTAGTTTGTTTTTTTTTTGTAAACATTATATGTAAAATGTAAAAGTTCTAATAAAAGTTTATTGATCTTGTTGATAGGAGGCTTTATTAATTAATTGTTAAGTTCAAATTAAAGTTCAAAATTTAAGTTATCTGTCAAAAAAATCTAAATACAATAAATTATTTTTTATCTTAAAAAATATAAAATATGCAGGTACAATTTTTTAATTTTATGTTTTTTTGTACAGATGACTCTGATGTCATTTTATTATTTCAAAGGAATTGAATTGAAAAGTGGAGGAAAAAAATTCTAACCTTAAATATTTTATGGACATTAATCAAGCTTTAAAAATGTTATAAAGATTTTTTTGTTTTGTACGTACCTTGTCTTTAAGTTCAAAGATTAAATAATTGGCAAGTTTTTTTTTGAAAAACTATTGTATACGGTTTTTTTTTTAATTATATTTCATTTTGAATACTACTGTTTTGTTCTCCTTTATATTAAAATTAGTGCCTATGATCAATTTTAGTAAAAAATATTGTGCTCATTCCTCATATAGAGTTGTTAATTTTAAAGCTATAAACATAATCGGAATGTAAACACGTATTTCAAAATTTGACAGCTCCAAAAAAAAATATACTCTTCAATGTAAATAAATAAATATACACGAAATAAAGATCAAAGGAGCACTTAAAAATTGTCTCATTTTCCTTATTAGATTGTCTCGTAAACTAAAGATACAACTTCAAAGTTATATCAACAATTGTCTCACTTTCTTTCAGAATTCACACCTTTACATTTGGAAATTGTCAAATCTTACAATATTCCTTGTCATCTTGATAACGTTTCACTCCATTGGGTTCACTCCATTGTTGTCAAATTATGAAGTGCGTTCTCGCATCCTGATTATGTTTATAGCTTAAAAACTAAAGGTTTCTTAAATTTGGAGTCCATTCAATGTATTTAATTTGGGGAATATATGCTGCAAAGAATACAACAGAGTTGAAAAACTTTAAAAAGCATGTATTAAAACAGTGTTGCCGCACTGAAAAACCAGTATTTTATCGAAAGGAATGATTCTTTACAATAACGACACAAGTTTAGATTTCAGAACCGTTTGAAGTTTTACAATTTTTTATTTCAGTCGCCCAATTTTTTTCTATATTTAATATTCTTACAATAAAACCCTCTTAATATTATTTTTATAAAATTTTCTAATAAAAGAAAATTCATTTGCCAAATATGTCAAATATAGGCAATTGTAAAATTCAACAAATGAAAAATTTTTTTTTTGTTTCCAAAAAGAATTTTTTTTTGTTTTTTGACATGACAAAAATAATTTATGTAAAACCAATAAATTTTTTTTTTTGCAAATTAATCTTTTATTTTTTTTTTTGTTGACTTGTTTTAGTTTTTGATATAAGGTCATTCTACCTTTCTTTCCAAATATGCTTCAGTGACAAGTGTTTGGTTTCTTCTTCTATTGACCTACATATAATATAATTTTTTTGTATGGAACTTTGTCAGTAAGTTGTCACATTGTATTTTATGTTTTATGTTAAAAAAAGAAAATGTTATATAATTTGTTTTGTTTTGATGTAATTTAAAAATTTCACTAATTTTTTAAAATTTTTAATCTTAATTCTTATCAAATTAATAGTGTAAAAGGTCCGGTTTAAATGTTATTCGTTCTAGTTTATAATAAAAAGTTTTCTGAATTTTTTAAATTTGACATTGACAGATTGATATTTTAGCGCACCTGTTTGATTTTGTTTTATTTTTTTTTTATTTTTTGGCTTTTTTTTTATTTTTTTTTATTTTTTGGCTTTTTTCTGCATTCTTCTTTATAAATCAAATTTTTAACTATTTTGAAAATAAAAAACGTGTAAAAAACCAGGTGCCATTTAATTTTTTTGATTTGTCGTTTTTTGTTTTTCGAATCAATGTCATAAAATTTTCTATCAATTATGTAAATAAATTTTGCGTGCTCTTCACATTACCTACAATATGATCTGGTCAAATTTTATTAAATCTCGCAGTATACGAATTTTTGAAAAACGAGAACAAAAACTTTAAGGAAAAATAAAAATTTTATTACTGCAAAAATAATCAAGTAAAAGACAAACAAAAAAAAAATATTTTACCTATAAAAGTCTATAATCTATAACTAGACACAAAATTGTCATTAAAATAAATCAAGTTCAAAAGTTAGGGAGGCGTTCTTAATGAAATTGTAAAATTATGTATAGGAAAAAGAAGTAGAAAAGGTATTTGATAAAAGCATATTTCCTAAATTTTAATTGTTTTCATTTGAAATTTTAAGTTTTACGGAATATAAAAAATAGGTTTGTTAATTTTAATTTAAGCTTAACCAATACAATTTATCTTAAATAAAAATTTAATTGAACTACACCGAATATCCAATTCGGATATTATTGAACATTCAATTAATTTACGGCGGTCAGGTGAATCTGTACAAGAGTTAGTCCGCTTTTCCCCAGTTTATGCAAGTATACAGTAAAGAAATTCGCAATAGAACGAACAAGGTTTCTATAAATCCCCAACAAGTCTACTATTAACTTTGTTGAAAGTAATAGAAGAAGCATCTTCGTATGACGTCACCTTCTCGTGTTCCGCCTGTGAAGGTCGCATTCCGCCAAAAGCAAGTGAGTAAGCTTAGCTCCCACAGAAATGCAACGTAATGTAAAGCAGGTAATGTAAAATAGTGGTAATAATAATACTATGGTAATAGTGAAACAGTGTTAAGAAGACACGAGACAATCAAATAATCGTGTAGAACAATTGAATTTCAATTTATAATTTATCGAAAACTAAAAGAAAAAAATATTAAAATAAATTTATCTTTGATATATTGCCGTCACCAATAACATTGTTTCAACTTGTTTATTTTAAATTCCATTTTTTGATTTTGCAAAATTATTTTTTTTTTTTTCATAATTTATTATTAATTTTTTTGATGTGATTTTACCAGTCCAAACTTAAAAATTTAATAATTTTGTGGGTGCTTTGTATTTTTTATATAGCTATCTATTTAAATACCATATATTTTTTGATTTGTTAATACTACTTTGATTTGTTTGATTCTAATTCAATGAAAATTTTTCATTTTTCTGAATATTTTCAATTCTATTGTATAGTCATTTATTTTCAATTTAGATTATATTAATAATTTTATAGTCATTTTCAATTATCAATATGATTTTTTAAATAGATTTGTCTATACAGAAGACAAAATGAAAATTTCATTGAACAAAATTATTTATTTGTTGATTCCCAAGAAAACAAAAACAGTTCAATTGATTTCCGATCTAATTAATTGTATTGATTATGCTTCTACACCATTTTGTTTCCCTCCAAAAATTTATGTACATCGACTACATGCGGTTAATGTGACAGCATGATATAAAATTATCACATTATATAAGAAATTTTAAGTTTTGGTCCATTTAAAATTATTGCATATCCGTTCAAATAGATTAATGCTTGTATGTATGTATGTATATGAAAAAGAGAAGGCATTTTTATTATGTAGATTAAGAATATATCAATAAATTATTGGTTTTTGTTTTATTATATTTGGTTTTATATTGATCATTTCTATTTTGGTTTGTATAAATAGATTTATATGAATTTATTTTTGCATATCGGCAACGCACATTACAATTTATGCTTATTTTGTGATTATTTATATGGTTTTTTAGTTTCTTTTATTAATTATATTGTGGAAATGTTAAATTATACTTTTGTTCAAAAGTTCAATGTTAATTTTACAAATTTTATGGTATATATATACTATCTGTCGTCGTGGTAAATTTGATAATATATTATTTAAGATCCATGCCTCTTCAAATCACATATAAGGTTTTTAAAAATTTTCATTTAAATTTGAAATACGAGTACATATTTTGATCCTGATTTTATTCATCTAGATAATTTTAAATTTTATCCAGTAATTTTTGATCTTGTATTAAAAAAATTTCCAGTTTTCGAGATATTCTTGAGATTTGAATTGAAAAGGCATGATTTGAAAGGCATACATGAATTTTTTGTTAGGAAACCTATTATTATATTTAAGTCATTTGTACATATTTTGTCGTAAAAGAGAGTAATAGTTGCTAAAAATTTTAACAATTTCAAGACAGATATAAGTGCTATTCTTACAAAAAGAAACTATTTCAAAAGTTTAAAATTTTTCCTAGATCTTCTTACTTTCATAAAAGCGGAAATTACAACGGAAATAAACTAAAAATATTTAAATTTAAATTAAATACGCGAGCTTTACGTTAATTTTATTTTCTAAGAAATTCAAAAAAATTGCATATATTTAGGCTAAAACATATTTAATTTCTCTGCTGAATAAAATTTTTTAGAAATAATGGTTTTAATTTGTAAGCTTGAAAGTAGGCTGTTACTTAATTTAAAATGGTTATAGTGCCGGAGCATATATGAAAAATTAATTAGTTTTAAAAAATTTTACGGAATGTCAAAGTTAACGGCACGCATTTGAAAATTAGAATTTTGGAGAAAACTTGAGGAAATTTTCTAAATTAAAAAAAATTAAATTTGTAAGAATAATTTTACTACTTTGAAACTAGTATATTTTCTATTAACATAGTGAGTGGCAACTGTTAGAGTGATAAATTGGCCATCACAACGATTTTTAATAAGGAATAGGTCATATTTGTGAATATGAGAGAATATAGGACAAAATGTAAGTGAGCAAAGATTTTTCATTGCAATTAGAGATTTATATACAGTTTTTGTTTAAGAGGATGCAGAGGCTTTTAAATATTTTTGACCTTTGTGGAAAGTAATTATTTTTTAACACTATATTTTATATATAATATATTTTTATTACACATTATGCATAATAAGAATTTGAAATAATTTTACATAATCACGAAATATAACAATAGTATATAAAATATTAAAACAAAAATTACACAATATTTTTATAAGATCACATTCATATCGATTAAATCGATAGAAATTGAATAAATCTACAAAATCGTATTATTTTATATTAAATATTCTTTTTGATTTTTAAAATCTACAAAATAAAAAAATATTTTAGAAATAAATTTATAATAAATTATTTTATAAAATTAAAATGATTTTATTTTAGTTTTTATGACTGTATTATTATTTCGATAAAAATGATAAACTACCACAATTCAAAGATTTTGCTGCTCTTTCTTTAATAGACATCATTTCGGCTGCGGTCGGATGTAAGACAACAATTTTCCTATTGCTGTCTTCGACAACAATTTTTGCTCGACACGAATTTTTTGATAAAGCTGTGGGAACAGAAACGGTTGGTTGTTGAGTTGCAGTCGGTTGTATTGTAACAGTAACGGTTTGGGCAGGTTGTGTTACAACTTTCGTTACTAATTGTCCAACACATGGATTATTTAAATCTTTATTGGAACCGAAATTAAGAGTATTTAGATTGTTATTACTAATACTGTCACGACCTGAACCACTACCACCACCACCGCCGCCACCAGCACCGCCGCCACCAGCACTGCCGCCACCAGCACCGTCGGCACCAACACCGGCGGCACCAGCACCGCCGCCACCGCCGCCTCCACCACCAAAGTGACTACTGATACCAACATTTTCGATATTGTTACCATGTATGGTTGCAGGAATACTAGTAACTAAATTACTATTTAATTTGTTCTTATTACCGGAGTAGGCAATCGAATTACTACCTCCAGTTACTCTATTAGCTTCAGGTTGTAAACCATGAGTATTAATAGATCCACTGTTAGTGACTTGTCCATTAATTTTTCCAGATTCAGTGGAACCGTGAACGCCAATGCCAGTACCCGTTTTGAAAGAACCATCCCCAGTAGATATTCCAGTATTAAATTTACTTCCACCTCTACCAGAACCATTAGCATTGTCAATATATGGTACATTAATTTGGAATTTAGGGTCGTTTTTACCAGTTGTAATTGGGATATTATTTCCACTGTTACCACCACTAAGAGGAATGTTAACATTAAAAGTGCCACTTCCAGTTCCAGTTCCAGCTCCTGTTGCTATCCCTCCACCACTATTTACGTTAAAACCTGTACCCGGAAGAGGAATCCCGGTAGTTTTGTCAATAATTCCATTAGTGGCTGGAATATTTGAAACAGGTTTTCCTCGCATTCCAATAATTCGCGCACTATCTAGGGAAGGAGTTGATAAGGAGACAGATCCCGTTATTTCACCTGATCCAGTGTGTTGTGCTTGAGAAGACTGAATAGGAATTTCAACGGAAACTTGGTTACGGTTCTTTTCACCGGAAGAATGTTTATCAGAAGGTGATATATTATTTGGTCTATTTGAGTTATCTAAATGGATTGCTGGAACTGGAGATAAAATATTTGATTGGCTTTGATTTGGTGTATGTGCCGATTTATTTGGGAGATTTAATTTTTCATTCGATTCTGATTGGGGTACATTAGATGGCCCTCTAGTTTGTGTTTTTGAAGGGTTTATTTTAATTGAATCAATTTCTTTTCCTGTTGAAGTAATTCCAGTATTTATATGATCTTTTGGACTTTTTTCATTTATTTCATTTAAATTTGGGATTGCACCAGGAGTTATTGTGTTCGAAGATGGTTTGCTGGTATCAGGATGATTTTTATCACCAGGTCCTTTAATTCTATTGCTTGTTCCAGTATTATCTGACGTTGAAGGGCCTTTAGTTTTCACAGGTTCTGTACTTGAACCGGGTTTTCCTTTCACTCTATTAGTATTGGAATTATTTTCTTCACTAGGTTTACGAATCGAATTTTGGTTATTTCCTTTTCCGTTAGCTGGATCAAAAATAATTTTTTGATCTAAGGATTCAGGAAAATAAACTTCATCTGGTATTGGTATATCTAGAAGTTCTGGTTTATATTCTGGCTCTGTACTAATAGGTGTTGTAAATGCATTTGTTTTAGGAATATCATTACTACTATTGATTGGTGAAAAGATCATTTGCGTTTTACCAGGAACTTTTGCGTCTGTTACCTGTATTGGCACTAAAATGTCAGTTGTTGGTGGTGTCCGCGTTTTATCTGTTAATGGTATTTGTCCTCCTGTTAGTACAATTTTCGTATCGGGTACATTCGTTCCTAATGATAAATCAATTTTTTCTTTGCCTTTTGAATCTACAGGTTCTGTTCCTTTTCCACTAACTTTTGAATGAATATTTTTATTATTATTATTTGACGAATCGATATTTGCACCTACTGGAATATCACCACTTATAATTGATGCTTTTCCACCTCTAACATTAGCATTATTTTTTGGATCTTGATTATTTTCATCACCGCCTCTTGTTTTACCTCTTGTTCTTCCTCTTGTTGGGATTTCGCCACTGTCATTGGAACCCTTTCTGGGACCGGAAATTCCAATTTCTGTATCTATATTAGTTTTCAAATCATTTTTAATATGACTATCTGTTACAGATCCTCCTGTATGTCCTTTAACTCTTCCAGTTATGCTAACATCAGTTTCTGTTGATACTGTAGATTTTTCTTTTTGTTTTGTTTCAATATAACTTTTGATATCACTTAAATCAGAGAATGTATTTGTAGCAACATTAAATTTATTTTTACAAAAATCTTGTAAATCATCATATGGCATATCTGTGACAACAATTATACTTTTTGCTCTATAACCATTAACAGCTGTATAACATGTTACATAAAATCTACCATCAGGTCCAACAAATGCATAAAATCCAACTTTACCACCATCAGCGAAACCATCTTGAAATTGTTTAATTTTATTATGATTTTGGAAACTAAAATGAAAAAAAAAGAAAAAGTAAAAGTAAAATATTATTATAACAATTTTTTGTCTTATTTTTACGGTTTTTGAAAGGGAAATTTTGATTAATAAATTAAAATGCAAAAGAAATCAAAAGTGAATTATTCCATTTTATTATGACGGTTATTGTGAATAATTTGCAAAAACATCAAATTTTAATTAGCATGACATTGTTAAAAAGTTTTATACGTATAAGTATATAATATTTGGCAGTTAAATGTTTTTATTCATATTATGTAACTGTTATACATATGTGAATCAAATTTTATTCAAATTAGTTATTAAAATTTTAATATTTGATTTAAAGCGGCCCGTCATACGAGTCTAAGATTTTTGAGTCATTATACACAAAATTTTTCAAATTCCAAAGCTAACGGGGAGAATGTGGAATGTGTACATAAATTATAAAACTAGTTTGACAGGCCGGGTTTGTTATTTGTAATAATAATTTGTTCAATTTTCTGCAATTCACTCAATTCTGCTCTAATATACACTCTAAGTCTGCTCTAATATACACTCAAAGAAAATTGTGGGTATTTTTGTTTTCTTTCAAATTGCTTTTTATAAAATGTTGAGTATGTCAAATTTGACATTTCACACCCGGTATTTAAATGCGATTTGAATAAAATGCATAAATCTTAAATGTTTATTGATTTATTTATTTTTTTCTATTATTGTCTACTTTATTTCTACTATTGTCTATTTTAATTTTTGGTAACTTGTTATTCAAATTTTGATTAAAAGTTCATTGTGATTTGTGAATTTTTTGACAAAAAAAAATAATTGTTTTCTGTTTTGTTTTTTTTTTTATTTCCTTTTGCAAAATAACGATTGCCTATCATGACATCTAGTTTGAAATTTTTTTTTTCAAAAGCAGTAATCCTTAAAATTTAATAGTTTAATATTTTAATAAAATTCCTAAAGATTTATGAATTATCTAAAAATAAAAATTAATAATAATTTTAATAATTAAGAGAAAAAAAAATACAAAGTTTCTTGTCTTAATTTCATACATGAATTAATAATGAACTCATTTGAAACGTTGCTTTAAACTTTGATAAATTAGAAAGAGAAGATGAGCTTAACAAATGCTTCTAGCATACAGGAGCACCACATGAGAAAAATAGCGCAAAATATTAAAAAAAAAAAAACGAAATCTGCTTTTAACACTTTTTTTTTCTAAATTTTGTCTAATAAAACGTTTTTCTAAATTGTTTTACTCATATAATTTCGGATTCTTAAAATATTTTGCAAAGTACGAGTAAGAAAAAAAAAACAAGAATTCAAAGTTTATCGGCGGCATTCAAGTTTTTCTGGTATAATTTTTTTTTTGTGTTTTAAATTTTTTTTTTTTTGTATGAAAAAATTTGGTAAGCGTGAAATAGCCAAAATATAATATTAATCAACGGTTGGCAATATTTCAAGCTTTTATTTTTATAGCTCAGAAAAAAAAATTACACCGGTATGCGATAGGATAAACAAAAAAAAAAAGTGTATTGTAAGGTTATGATTTGGAATTCGACGGGGGTGAAAAATCGCAATGTAAAATTAAAACGGAAGTAAATTTTACAAAATAAAAAAAGAAACAAGACAAAAAATGAAGAATTTTTCAAATGAGTCTCGTGTAGGAGAGCAACATGATTTTGACTTGAAATCAAAGGTTAATTTTTAAAATAAATTAATTTCTGAGGTGTTATGAAACAAAATTTTAAATTTTGATTGTGTATTTTTGACATTATATTATTAAGAAGTATAAAATATAGATGCGGTGGCGCAGATAAATTTAATTTGACAGTTATTTATGTATTATAATTGAAACATTGTTATAACTTTATTATTTAAAATAATTCAAGGATTAATTTTGTTAAAATTCTGCAAAAATATATTGTTTATGACCAGTTTTTGTATAAAAGAATGTTTGAACTTGTGAATGCATTGAATGATTGACATAATGTGTTATATAAATGAAAAGATGCTTCAAGTGTAATACTGAGTTGCTTGTAAATAGGACGCTGTATTGTATAGAAATTCTGTTATATAAGAAGAAAAACTAATTTGGAGCTCAAATTTTCAGGAATTGCCGTTTATTTTTCATATAAAAATATTAAGATATCTGGAAGTGAAACAATAATGTGTGTAACTGCTCCTCTTAACAACTCCTACGTAGTTGGCAGTTAAAGCTGTTTCGAATGTGTTTCTGTTTTGAATGAACTCTAAAATTAAGGATTTGACATTCATTTTGTAATACGAAATGTAAAGCAATGACGTAACGGAATAAATATGAGTCGTTACTTAACTATTATATATGCAAGTTATTTAGATGAGCGTGTTATAATCATGGTTAGAGTTGTATTGACTTTACAAAAATTTCAAAATATGCATTCAAAAAATATTTTTTTTTTAATTTTCTAAAATTTTGTGATTATTTATTAATTTTTGATTTGCAAATTAATGGTAAATCCATTATTATATTTAAATTAATTATATTGATAGTTTGAACATATCCTAGATTAGCATTAGATCATACTTAAATATTTATTATTTATTGATTGTTTTAGAATTTTTTTTTATAAAAAATGATGAAATAAATCTTTTATCCATATAATAGAAATTGTATTTCTATTATATTAATTTTAAATTAATTTGTGACATTAAAAATTGTTGTTAATTTTTTGTTAATTTGGTCATTAAAAAAAATTGTTAGAAACAAGGTTTCTTTGACATGAATTCTATAAATTAGAAAGTTGTAGTTCTTTTTAAATAAATTGAAAGTAAATAACTTGGTTTTTTGGTATTTGAGTAAAATTTATTAACAATAATAATAGGAAGGAATGCATAAAAAATAATCATATAGAAAAATAGAAGTCAATAATGCTAACTGATTTAGTTAAGATACGATAAAATATATTGGAATAGATCTAAAAAAATAAATGAAATAAATTAACGACATATGGCAATATTTTTGATACTTTTAAGTTTAATAAAGCTTTTGGCTAGATTTTACAGTTAAATACAGTTCTAGGATCGGCGTTTTTATAATTTTGCTAAAATATTTTGTACCTTTTCGTTAATTAATATTAAAATTTCAAATATTGTATCCAAAATTGTATTTTATATTTTGTAAGAAAAGTCATTATTATAACTAAATAACGTTATATCAGATTCTCGTAGCATCCCTACGAATACTGCTTATAAAAGCAATATACATTCTTTTCCTCCTTCTCATTATATAGTGCAACAGTGTCACCCATAATACTAACTGTTAACCATAGTATCACTGTAGCACATCTTGTGAACGATGAATGACAACTCTAACTGTTCATTTATAAATATATAGTTTTTTTTGCTAAAATCTGAGAATCGCATGATCGGTATACCAGATAGCACAAAACCCATGAATAGATTCGAAAGAAATATTTTTAAAACCCATAGCAATACTCTTAACACAAGATACCGAAAACTGAGGTTTATTGCCAAAAATTATTCAATCGACAAAATATCTGCGGCTTATTTGTAAATTTTTTCAATTTAAAAATTTCTTTGCTAGTATTTTTCTCCTTTTTGTTTTGCTTGTTTTTCTAATCTCTTTTATTCTTGTTAAATCGAATCATAGGCTGTAGCAATAATTTACATAGTCACAAGCGCCATCTATCGTTCAATAGCCGTGCTAGTATATATAATAAAATATATTTGTATGTAAAATAAAATTAATTAAAATTAATTTTAAATAAATTTCATAGTGATTTTAAGAAATAATAATTTTATATTGAAAATTAAATATGTATTAGGAAGTTTTTCGGCATAAACAAAAACATTTATTACAAATTATAATGAATTTTCGAAAACTAGATTTGTACATTATAGTAGTTATAAAGATCTAACTTGAATACAAATTGTATAAACATATTTACATACACATTTCGTGTATGTATAATAGTTTTAATTTTATATTGTTATTTTAATGTATAAAAAATAATATTATTTTATTTTTTCTATAAACTTGTTAAGTTTTAGACTATTGATGTTAGGCTGATAAAAAGAATCCAGGTCAAGTTTTAGCTGCTATTTTAATTCTTTTATTTTATTATAAGAAAAATTAGTATTGATTAAATTACATAACTCTTTTAAAAATAGAATATTTTTTTATTGTATATATAGAAGATAGAAGATGAAAAATATTGTTTTCTATTTTTCTATTATTATTTTTCAATAGAAAATATAAATTAAATAGATAAAAATATTTTTTAATAAAAGCGATTGTTGTGTAGGTATAGAGAAAAACTATTGGTGTTGTAAAGAATTTTTTTTGTTATACCGTTATTAATTATGATCTAAATATTCAAGTTATATAACAAAATTTTTGTCTAGATTATTGTCTAAGGAAGTATACAGGTGTCAAAGTGTTAAAATATTATAATTTTAATTATAATTTACATATTGTTTATACATACTGTATATATATATATATATTAAAGTTCCCATTATTTAGGAGGCCGGAAAACAATAATTATTTGTTAAATTTTAATTTAATTGGTTATTTATTCTAAGATAATGTTTTTCTGGATGTTTTTCGTACATTGACATATTTTTAATAGATTTTTGGGTAATTTTGGAATTTTTTAATTTAGATCAAATTTGTTGATCAACAATAAAATTTTAAGTAGTTAAATGCAGAAATAGATGAAAAAACTAGTAAATCTTTTATATAGATCTTTTATATAATTGAATTATAACTGAGTTTTTAAATTTCAAAAAATTTATTCATTTATTAATATATTGTATAACACTATGAAAATATAATATTTATCAATTGGACAGAAATAACGCACAATTTGTTCCGGTGAAAACTAAAGTTATACAAAAATTTTCCTATTTAATTCTAATTTTTTTATTCCAGTGTATTCAGAGTATAGTCTTGAATTTTATACAAATTCAATTGTAATGCCATTTTTAATTGTACTAAAATGAAAAATATTCGAAAGTGTGTAAGTAACTGGAGACAAATGGTTCTTTACGAATAGTCATAAATTATATAGTTTGCTACAAGAGTTCAATTACTTATATTCAGTTTCTCTGTTTCAATCTCATTAAGAGTAGTAAACAAAAGAGTTATACAAATTAATATAAAGCTAATTTTATTTGTCATATATTCTAAAATGTAAAAATTGTGTCATGCCAGGATAATTTCCAAAAAAAAAAATAAATTCGAAAATTTTTTTTTAATTAATATATTTTGTTTATAAGAAATTTTGTTTTAATATAAAAACAAATTAATCTTTTGCTAAGAACGCTTTCATACAAATATATGATGTAGAGTGTCCACTACAAATTAAAATTAAAATATGCTAGTACATTAAAATAAAATATTAAAATAAATTCAAATTAAACCAATGGTTCGTAAAATAATTCCCTTGAATAAGAAAGTCTTATTGTGCAATTCCCTTAAGTAACCTACTAGCTGTTAAACTACTTTCACTAAATTTTCGAAATATTTCAAATTACTGCATACATTTGAAATGAAATAACAATTTTAAAAGAAGCGAAGAATAATAGTCGAATTTGACAGGTGAAGTAAGTGAGTTAAGACAAATAATTATATATTTTGATGCGGCACAGTGATTACCGTTAGCTTTTTACTTTAAAATACTTTAAAAAATGGGGGCGAGCGGATTACTAAACATTTTCTTCTACAATAATAGTTTTCTAATAAAGAAAAACCTACTGTATATAAATTTTAGTTTTCTATCTCAGGGGATGAAGAGATTAGAGACAAACGTATACACAATAAACTGAAACTAATGACTGAAATTTTTCCTAATTTTATTTATCATTTTAGTTTTGCAAAAAAATAGAGTATCAAAAATCTAATTTGTGTAAGTACTTATACATGTGTAAGTAATTCAGATTGTTCTACAGAAAGCTGTATACGTATACGTGTCCCGGGATAACGTTAAGGAAATCCCGATTAGTTACTATCAAGTTTGTTATAGCCATTAGGCAAGACCACATTAAAAACATATTCAAATCAATAATACATAAGTATTATTTAAAAAATGTTAAATAGTTCTTTTACAGCTCTGCAACACTCTGTAATAAAAGTGAAACTATAAGAAAATATAAGAACATAAAAGAAAATTTTTGCTACCATTGTATTAAAAGTAAGAAACCAAATTCGGTTTTTTTTTTTTTTTTGTTATTAATTAATAAATTTAAATATGGCGTTTATGTAAATTCTATAATTATATGTCTATGCTTCTTAATTCCACTTAATTTTTTTCGCTTCTTTTAATTCTTTAATATTTTTTTTTTCTCGCAATTTTCTATTTTATTTAGTCTTACGTCCATTGTTTATTATTATAAATTTTAGTTTTTAAGAAATTTTGACCTTTTTATCACATGAGAATTTTTGTCATTGTCAAAAATGTCCTATGAGCTCATCCTGTTTTTGTTTTTGTTTTCCTTATATCATTTTTATCGATATTTTATCACTTCTAAATTTGAAATTAATTAATTTGTGTGTTAATCCTAAGATACAAATAAATTCTTTTTTTTATTTTTTAAAATGATTTTATAGAAATTTTGTTTATTTATATTTGTAATTATGTATATTAAATGTAAATTGCCACATTTTTTGCCACTTAATATAATTTTTTTTATAAAAATACCGAAAAAAAAATTAATTGTGTGCTTTCTTTTTTATTGTCCGAGAATCCCAAAAAGACTAAAATTTGTTTTATATGCGCATTTTATTGAAATGAAAACATTTTTAATAGAAAAATTTTTAATCTAATTCAATGACCGTCTTTATTTGATTCGAAATGAAAAATGAAAATTACATAAGAGATTTTTGTTTTTACATAAAAGGGTGTGTTATTTATGTAAAATCAAGGTTACATTAAAAAACTTCTGTAAATTATAATTTCATTCATAAATAAAATATTACGAATTTATATTGTTGCTTTATATTTTTATAAATGGGAAAAAATTCAATAACTCAACAATAAAATGTCAACAATAAATTATGGTGTTTGTTTTGGATAACACGCTTGTCATCCGTTTTATAGCATTTATGTTGAGTTCAATAAACTATAAATGCAATTTTAATGTTTGCAACATAATTTTTCTTTATTAAAAGTTTGAATGAATTTTTTGAATGATTATACGGGATTACTCAATATTGAATTTATTATTGTTGTTTAATTAATGTTGCAGTTTAATAATTATTGCCAGTAGATTATTGAATAAAATATGTGTTGCTAGCTTATTCTGCTACAAATAGGTTATAAAATTAGTTGCTACTTTAAATAATAAAAGTCGATTGCAATTTGAATATTGACTAAAGTGATTTTTGAAAGGAATTTTATATAATTTAAATTTTTAGTTATATTTTAAGTGGAGCAATTTCAGTAAGTGATATTGTCAAAAATTTTATGTTAGTTTTTGACATTGACAGTTAAAATTTGATATTAATTTTTATTAAATATTCTTTTATTAAATATAATAAAACAGAATTATGTATTTCATTTTAAATTAAGAATTAAATTAAATCAAAAATATTAAATTAAATAATACCGTAAAAAATTTTCGTAAATATTATGTTGAACGATTTCAATTTATAATATTTTCATAATACGACATATTAATTTTCGATATTGATAATATTTACTACACAATAATTTTTGATATGTTTTAAATTTTACATAATTGAATAATAATTTATAATATTAATTTTACAAAATTATATTTAAAAATAATTAAGTTCTAATATTGATTATCAAAATTATTTCAAATTTGGATCATAATCAAATTGAAAATATTGTTCAATTAAATTATCATGATTACAATATTCAGTAATTTTGACGATTCTAAGCTCAAATAATGACATTACACGCGTTGACCTAATTTATTTTGTTTACCGTAATATTTGTTTGTCGTAATATTATATAATAAGCTTTCTTATACTTCTACATAGTGGGGATGAAAGCTTTTATCTTATAATGAATTTTGATAATATTTTCATATACTTACGAATATCTGTATTGTCCTTTAAAATTATTCATATAATAATCCTCTTTTGTGTCACCAAAATTATCATTTTCCTTAAGATACATTTCAGGATCATAACTTAAACATGTTGTTATTGTAATGCCCACCTAATTTTGGGTATATAAAAAAAATTAATAATTTAATTTAATTATAAAACTTTTTTAAATAAAAACTTACTAAAAATAATAATTTTAACATTTTTCGTTTTTCTGAAAAATTAAAATTCCGAAAATTTCCGACTTATTCGGTTTGCTTTTGTTTTGTATATATAGGATCCTTCAATTTACCGCCGTACTACGATAGTATCAAAATTTTAGTATTATTTTTTCTTTAATTTCTATTTCTCTTATTCAAACGATTCGTTCACTAGTGACTCTAACATAAAACTAAATTTAACGGAATTAAAAAAATCTAAAGTATCCCCTTCAAGAAATTATTATTTTTTTTTTTATTTTTTTATTTGCATAAAATTTAAAAAGAAGATGAGTTTTCTTATAAAAGCAAAATAAAAACTAGAAATCAAAAGTGATTTTAAATTAAAAATGAAAAAAACAAAAAAAAAAACAGAGAGTTACCATCATCATCTAAGAATAATCCTTTGTTATTCACATGTTTTGTATGTATGTATTTATGTATGTATTACGTATTGTGTTAGAAAACATGTTATAAATCTAGAAATTCAAATGTATATATGTTTGCATAAATGTATATTAATTTCGTATACAATAGTTATGCGGTATTGGAAGAAAAAAAAAATCAGAAAAAAATTTTAAACAAAAGTTGTGACGAAATTTCAACCGGTTTCATTTTTATATTTTTTTTCTGCTACATTTAGCATTTTTAACACTTTTTTTTTACCGACTGCATTGCATACAATATGGGAGGTTATGTGATGCCACCAGATTTAGCATGTTCAGTTTTGGGGGTAAGTTTACGTCTACGTAGGTAAAGAAGCGTAAATAAACTACTTTTGGAAAGATGTCTTCGAAGAGAGACTTTTGGAAGGTTTTTCTGGCAGTCTGTCAGTGCAGATCTGTACTTCATTTTGGGTCGAAACGATTTCAATGAAAATTTATATCTTAGAATACTTTGGTTATGTCATGTTTTAATCAAATTTTGAGATATGTCACGATTTGATCTTAAATTTTTTTCATATGCCAGGTTTCGGAAACTGGATCTTTATTCTACGGGTCGATTTTATATTTTTGATAATTTTTTAAGAAATTATTCAACAAATTTTCTTGAAATTGTTAATATGAGCTTCGTTTGACAAAACGAAAAATCACTTCAATTTTGGAAAAAAAATCAGGTGTCAGTAATTGAATATTTTACTGCGAGTCATTACAATTTTACGATTTAAATTTTTGCGCGTGTAAGAAGAGACTTATAATATATGAACTTACAAAATTTTTGGTGGTGTTAGGGTTCAGAAACTGAACTTCCACTAGGGGGACGATTTTATATTTTTTATCATATCTAAAGAACTAATCGACGGAATTTGTTGAAATTTAATATTTGAATTCAGTAAAAGTTTACTGACGATCCTTTTCAGCAAATTCGTGTGATATAAAGCGAAGCTCTACTAAAAGCCTACTAAATTATGTTTTTATCTACATATTTAAATTACAAATTTACTAGCGTCCTTAATATTTCGCAGTCGATTATATGGCTGACCATATCAGATTATTTTTTACTGTGTATTGTTTATAGTATGTTAAAAAATTTTTAAGAAAAATGTAATCTAAATTATAAAATACAAAAGATTCCTAATTTTTTTTATTTTTTAATTATTAATTTTGGTAATTAATTCAAGTATAAAATTTTTATTTGTCTTTATTATAAAGTTACTTTGAAACGTACTTAATTTAATTTAGTTAGCTGAGTAATTTCTTTCAGTGTAATCGATTATTTGTCGAAAATAATTCCAGCTATTGTGTTAAAAGTCAATAATAATTAATAAACATCATTATTAATTTATCATGTAATAAAAGTTATATAATTTTAATAAACTGTACTATGTGACTGTGGAGCAAAAATACAAGAGCAAAAAATGATTTTAGAATTTTTAGAATATTTGCCGGTTGTTTTTAACTTTGTTGTTTTTTTTTGTGTCTGTTTTCTGGGAAATTTATTACTTTTTAAAGCGGTTTATTTGTTGCTCTTTTTTTTATATATAATGATTTTGTTATACAATTTTAATTGTAAAAAAAAAAATTGTGAAAATGGAAGTTGATTCAAATTCCGTAGTTCCTTAACTAATAGAGATTGTTTTTTTCGCCTTCTAATTGTAATATTCGGTATAATGGGTATAAATTAATATTATAAAGATTGCGATATTGAAGACTCATGGGAATTTGTTAAATTTTTTTGTAAGTTCTTGGAAGACAATTTGATTTTGAATAAATTTACTTAACGAAAAGTAAATTAGTTTTTAAAATTTTAAATATTAGGTCTTACCATAAGTAGTTAAGAAAAATTTCTGGCTCTGTACAACACGAGAATGGGATTAATATGTGAATAATAATAAAAGTATTATAAAAATACAATAAATTCAAGAGAAAAAGGGGGACTTCCCATTTAGTATTCGAATGTGAGAAAACAACAAATAAATAGATGTGGTAATCAATTCACTGACAAGAACATTGCTGAACAGGCCCCAATTTCAGCCGAAGCAGCCTATTCCAAACTAATTGGTAAAATCCACGCAAATAAATCGCATCCCGTACCAATTCGTGAATGTTTTTGCAAAATTTGAAAATATATTTTACTTTAGACACGAAAGCGACGAGACACGAAGCAATATTCATTTTTTATCGCGGCTCAATTTATAATTGAAATTCGCTGCGATTGAACTTATTAGGAATTTAGTCGTTAAAGGAATTTTAAAAATCCGACCACTCTTATTATTTTAATTTCAATTTAAATAGTCACATTTTATTATTTACATTATCTACCACTAGATTTCAATATTTAGTTTTATGTTGTGCGGCAAAACAATTTAAATTGAAGGTCAATCATAAATGAAAAAATTTTTAACATTGTAAACATTTTAAAATGACCCACCCTAAAAGTAAATTTTTTTCAATTCAAAATATTTTTTTTTAAATTTTTTTTTTAATTTCTTTTGTTAATTGCCATGTAGTAGTTGGTGTTCTTCAGATAGAGTAAAAATCACTTTCAATTTTTTTTTCTATTCTACACAGAAAACATTCTTTTCTATTTGGTGTTAATTAAGTTTTAATTTGTATAAAATATGTTTGTCTGTTAAGCTTTTATAACGGTAATTTGCATAATTTTATTAATATTTACTTATTATTTAAAATCCGAAAAAAAATCGTAAATATCAATCGTTTGTCAAAATTGAATTAATGAATAAATAAATAATGAAATATAGAAAAAAAAAAATACTTGAAAATGAATTTTAAATTTGTATTTAAAGAAGCTGTCGCAATAGAATGAATGTTAAAAGGTGTGATATTTTAATGGTTGCAGAATCTATGTAGTTACATTTACATGTATATATATACATGTGTACACGTATGTAATATTAAGTATGTATTTTTCAAAAATAAATGATTGGAATTTATTCACTATTAAATTCATCTTAAGACTATGATGACTAATATGGTAAAGACCAATGATAACACACAAACTATTTGTAGTTGAACAATTCTGCGTATATTATAAAAAGCTTTTTAATTAAAAAAACGAAGAATATTGTCTTTGCTTTTTAAAATAACAAGTTTTCTGTAAAACAAAAATTATATTGAACTTCTTGAGCTTTAAATAATGTCACAAGCTATTTATATACAGAGTGATTCAGTAATGAGTGCCTTTTCATGTGATTGCTATTTGAATGAAATTACTATAGTCAAGTCTCAATATTTTCCGAGATCCAAACAGAAAATTTTCTAGTTTTTTCCGTTCAAAGAAAGGTATGGAATTTGAAAATTATTTTTTTTTTTTGAAAGAACTCATTGAGCGCTTATATGTAAGGATATGGCTTACCTTTGTAACTCTTGTTCTTTCGGAATGATACAGAAAATTTCGAAAAATTTCTTGTAAGAAATGTTGATAATAAAAATAAAAAAAAATTATGCTTGATTTTCAAAAAAGTGATCAATAAAAGTGGAAAGGGTAAGAAATTAAAATATTTATTATCCTAAATTTTTTTCAATTCAAAATATTTTTTTTTAAATTTTTTTTTTAATTTCTTTTGTTAATTGCCATGTAGTAGTTGGTGTTCTTCAGATAGAGTAAAAATCACTTTCAATTTTTTTTTCTATTCTACACAGAAAACATTCTTTTCTATTTGGTGTTAATTAAGTTTTAATTTGTATAAAATATGTTTGTCTGTTAAGCTTTTATAACGGTAATTTGCATAATTTTATTAATATTTACTTATTATTTAAAATCCGAAAAAAAATCGTAAATATCAATCGTTTGTCAAAATTGAATTAATGAATAAATAAATAATGAAATATAGAAAAAAAAAAATACTTGAAAATGAATTTTAAATTTGTATTTAAAGAAGCTGTCGCAATAGAATGAATGTTAAAAGGTGTGATATTTTAATGGTTGCAGAATCTATGTAGTTACATTTACATGTATATATATACATGTGTACACGTATGTAATATTAAGTATGTATTTTTCAAAAATAAATGATTGGAATTTATTCACTATTAAATTCATCTTAAGACTATGATGACTAATATGGTAAAGACCAATGATAACACACAAACTATTTGTAGTTGAACAATTCTGCGTATATTATAAAAAGCTTTTTAATTAAAAAAACGAAGAATATTGTCTTTGCTTTTTAAAATAACAAGTTTTCTGTAAAACAAAAATTATATTGAACTTCTTGAGCTTTAAATAATGTCACAAGCTATTTATATACAGAGTGATTCAGTAATGAGTGCCTTTTCATGTGATTGCTATTTGAATGAAATTACTATAGTCAAGTCTCAATATTTTCCGAGATCCAAACAGAAAATTTTCTAGTTTTTTCCGTTCAAAGAAAGGTATGGAATTTGAAAATTATTTTTTTTTTTTGAAAGAACTCATTGAGCGCTTATATGTAAGGATATGGCTTACCTTTGTAACTCTTGTTCTTTCGGAATGATACAGAAAATTTCGAAAAATTTCTTGTAAGAAATGTTGATAATAAAAATAAAAAAAAATTATGCTTGATTTTCAAAAAAGTGATCAATAAAAGTGGAAAGGGTAAGAAATTAAAATATTTATTATCCTAAAGCTCTCAATAAGCTTTTTTAAAATAAAGCATTTGTTGGAAGCCAATCTTTTCGAGATTTGATAATAAGAGCAAGTAAAAATT